GCGTTGGCAGAGATTTGGAAACAAAATGTAAAGCCTTTTTCAAGATATAGGAGGGGAAAAGAGATTTGAACCTCCTTGATAAAATCAAGAAGCTCTTCTCCAAAAGTTAATTATCCAAAATCTTCACAGCGCTTCTTGCTTTGTTCTCTAGAAGAAAACAATGGCCGGGTCTCCCTTACCTGTGGGAAAGCAATTTAAACAGGAGGATAAATGTCTTTTTAAATATGGTATTTCATTGTCCATATTTCATTAAATATGGTCCTATCATTAAATATGTCCATATTTCATAAATATATATATATATATATCAATGATAGGATCCCAGGAGTGACATGTGCATTGAAGTAGCAAGGGGCAGAGGTAGCAAGGGAAGGCAGCGAATGACTCATTTTACGGAGGGGTGACCAGCATGCCCCAGGGTAGGTCAGGCACAGCCCAGCCTCAGCCATCACCTGTCTGCACCAAACCAAGAGGGCTGGCTTTTCCACAGGATGATAGATGTCTTAGGCTGGCACAAGGCAGAGCATAATGATGTTCTCATCAGCAAGCGACTTCAGGCTACGCAAGGCTGCAATCAAAAGCAGCAAAGGGAACAAACTGCTGGACTCTCTGCCAGAGCAGGAACCACCACCACCTCCTTCCAGGGCCTGCTGCTTGGAGCACTCCAAGCTGCGCAGTTCTGGGATTCTGTGAGGGGTGAGATTCCTTAGGGATCCCATCTGGAGTGAGAGTTCAATCCTAGCTCTGAGAGTGCTCCAGCGACCCTCCTTGAGCATATCTGTGGAGAAATGGATTCCAGGGGCCAAAGAGGATTCCGAGTGGAAAAAATGAGACTTCTCCAAAACGACTGCCAGCTAGGCTCTAAATGTGATTTTCAGAGCCCATAACACCTCTTTCAAGACTCCTGCTCCTCTTCTTCCTCTCACTTCCACCTCCCTCTCTCTTGAGACCTCGCCTGTTCTCCTCGATTCCATTCCTGGGTGACTCCCAGGGCCAGCCCTCGAACCCAGACACCTGGGGCCCCCCGCTCTTCACTGTGTCTCGGGTCCTGTGTTCTGACCTAAGGACAGGTGTCCTGCCTTACCTCAAACACCTGTCCAAAAGCAGATTCCTTATCTCCTGCCAGAGCCTGCTCCCTCCTCCAGAGTCTCCATTCTTCTAGGGTTGAGGGCAGGGGGGCCTGAGAGAACACTACTATCATATCTCCCTAGCAAGTTGTCCTTGGCCCTACCCTTTCCTTCATCCCATCTGGCACTGAATTCTTTCATTTCTCAGGGAGCTGTTCCTTTCTCTCCATTTCCCCTGCATGGCCACAAGTCCCCTTTGGCTGTAAAAATGGGACCTTCGCCCCTCACTGCTATTTGTGCACATAAACAGAGATAAGCAGAGATAAAGAGAAGCTGGCCTGCAGCAGGGTTTCTGGCTCCTCCTTCCCCCAGCAGCCCCTCTTGTCTGTGGGCACCTGGATTTCCTGCTGTCTCGCTCTCAGCTACCCACACTTCCACAACTGCCCACAAACACATTAAACTCATTTACACCAATATGCTAACTTCCTCCTGGTTTGTATTTAAACATGTTTAACTCTAACTGGCAATAGAAA